CGCGCCAGTCCCCCCCGGATACAGCCTGCTCGGGTGCTTTGCAGGCAGTGCCCCAGCCTGTGCTCTCCCCGGCAAGACTATGAGAGCACCAGCATGGAGGCGCGTTTGAAAGTCTCCCCACAGACACAGCATTCGCCTCCCCGCTTTGCTCTCCTGAGGTACCCCAGAAAGCAGAACTAGCCAGTGGGAAGGCAAAGGGAGGAGAGACCGTCTGTCACTCAAAACACAGCCCTTTGTATGAAACAGTCCGTTCATCTGTGAGCTTTCACCTCTAACGCTCTCCTTTGTGCCAAATTCTGCTCCCTTTCCCTAAGCTGTTTCTGCCATGTTTGTAAACCGGAGCGGCTTCCTCGGGTGCATGGCTCCCCTCAGAATGGCACACTAACAAACTTACCCTGGCTCCAGCTTTGGACATGCTCCGGTCTAGGCCCCACGCCCCACCTGCTGCAGGAATTCCAGCTGTAACTGCCAAGAGCCGGCGTCTGGGGTCCCCTTTTTATAATGGGCACCTTTTATCCCCGACATTCGCTTGGTCATGAGAATGGGATCCAAGACTGGAGTCAGGGATTCTAGGGCAAGGGATTGTTTCTAGAAAAGCCAGCAGGATTACGGGATCAAGGGAGGCTTCGCTGCGCCCTTTGTTTTTTGGCTGTTGCATCATCAGAGCTGACGGCTCTGCTGAGTCCAAATCCCAAACCTCGGCCCAAAACATTCCAGTGAAGCGGCCCGCCGGAGGGGGGGGTGTGTTGTGCGTGACGGTTTGGTTGCTCGCTCGCCTTTGAACGCGCTAAAAGGATGGGCCGCAGACTGGAATCCAAGGCTCTTAGGCCCCACGGCCCCTGGGGAAGGGACCAAGGCTTTTCCCACTGCCGCAGGGAGCAGTGGGGAGCTCAGACTTGCTCAGTGGAAGGGTGGGAAGGGAGCTGGAGCCAATGGCCACTATCTGAAAGCACGTAACAGGCAGCTGTGGGTGGCAGGGATCACACTGGACTAGGTGGTCTGGGATTCCACGCTTGACTCTTGGGCCAGTCACAGTATCTCTGCCTCAGTTTCATCCTCTGTGAAATGGGGATAGCGACACTGCCCTGTGTCAAGTGCACTGAGATCTAGGGAGCTCTGGATAAGACGCAGCTATTATTTCTCCATCTGAGGGGCTCGCGCTGCTGTTACGAACACCAACACCGCAGCAAGGGCAGGGAGGGATTTTTATCCCCATTTTACAATGAGGAACACAGAGCACAGAGGGATTAAATGAGGGGACCCCTGCCCCATAGGAAGTCCATGTCAGAGGCAGGACCAAAACTCAGATCTCCTACGATTTAACCATGAGACCGTCCTTAGCATCACCTCGATGCATAGGGCAAGGTGGGTGCTTACCACCATTGGAGTGGGGCACCGAGCAGGGAACACGGGTGGGTCGTGCCCCCAGAAGCCACACAGTACTATGAACGCCTCTCCAGCTCTTGCAGCACCAATCCAACGGCTTAGGGACATAAAGCCAGCAGGAGAGTGGCACAGCCTTATTTCAAGCCTGTCAGAACAGATCCATCTCATCCCAATGCTTCTACGTGCTGCCCTCCTCAGCGGCACACCTTTAAACCCTGCCGCCTCCAGAGGTGCCCCGAGGCCGGCAGACTGAGCTAGAGATCTTCCCGCTGGCGGCCCCCCTGCCTCGCTAACCCCTTAAGTACCAGGCTCTGGCTTTGGCGCACTGGTTTTCTGCTAGCAGGGCGGGAGGCTGCTCACCGCTGTTAATCCAAGAGCTGTTTATATGACGATCCCAGGGCCCAGCCCCGGACCAAGCTCCCACAGAGGCGCTGCATATTAGTGGTTGGTGGGGGAGGGAGACACGCCAGGGATGGGCGAGGAGGATCCCAAAACTCAGGCTACAGCCCAGCTGGCAGCACAGCAGCGTTTCTGCCCCAGCCAGCGGAGCCAGGCCAGCCGAGGGTTAGGGTTTATCCCCCGGTGGGCGTACGCTTGGAGACTGGCTGTCTTGAGAGCAGGGAATGAGTCTGAGGCCCATTCCCGGTGATTTTCAGCTGAAACGCTGCTCGGGTCCCCGGGTCTGGGAAATCTCTGCTGCTGTTGCCCCCTCTCCGCAAAGGAAGGTGAGCAGGTCCATTTCACTAGTGCGCCAGAGGCGAAATGTTCTTTGTGGTGGGAAGAGTCGAACGGTCTGACCCGCTCTCCAGTGCACGCCTGGGGGTTGTCCCGCTAGCCCAGCCTGGGCACAGGGAAGGGCTGAGCGGGATGGAGGGTGGGGGTCTGGGAAATCTCTGCTGCTGTTGCCCCCTCTCCGCAAAGGAAGGTGAGCAGGTCCATTTCACTAGTGCGCCAGAGGCGAAATGTTCTTTGTGGTGGGAAGAGTCGAACGGTCTGACCCGCTCTCCAGTGCACGCCTGGGGGTTGTCCCGCTAGCCCAGCCTGGGCACAGGGAAGGGCTGAGCGGGATGGAGGGTGGGGAAAAGTGAGCCCGTCTCCCACACGGGGCTGAGCCCACCTCTCCATGCTGGCCTGCTGACCCTCACAGATTTGCTGCGGCAGGCTCCTCTAAATGGGAGGGCGAGGGGGCGGGGAGTAAGAGGAGGTTTTGGGAGGGCTGGATTTATTTGGGGGAGTAGGCTGAAGCTCGGGCAGGCAGGAACTGTGTCTGGCTTCTTCCTCGGCAGCCCCTTCCCTGTGACTCACTCACCCTCCGTGGCCCCAGCCCTGCGCCCGGGCAGCAGCACAGAGGCATTCATCCCCACCACACCAGTACCTTGGGGACAAACTGCCCATGCAGGGGCCTGGCCCACCTCTCTTGCTGCTGCCTTTGGGGACCCTCCCTGCTACTTGGCATCTCAGTGTCAAGCCAGGCTGGGAACTGCCTGCCAAGCTGGGCCAGGGGTGCTCAGCGCTGGGGGCAGAGCCCCTCCCCAGCCACCTCATTAGGGTGAAAACTTTTCTTCCCAAACACCGACTGATGTTCTACAGAAGCAAGGAGGCGGCAAAGAGAGAGACCCAGGCAACGCCATGAAACTTCATTCTGTAAGTGCTAAAGCCCTCTCCATCCGACACAGTGGTGGGAAAACCAAACAAAACCCACCACGCCCTGGTTGTCACTTACAACCAGGAATAACAAGCTCTCCACACAGAGGTGCACACGCCAGCCAGGGTCCTACACCATTGCAGGCTACATGCCCAGAAGTTTGACTTGGCACTCAGCCTCCTGCTGACCAGGCTGACCGCAAGGTGTAAGCCTGCCTTGCACTACCTTCCCTTCCTAGGCAGTCCTTCCCGTGGTTTCCTCCTGACGCCAGCTGGGATTCAAAGGACACGAACTGAGAAGGTGCAAGGCGATGCAGTGATGTCCTGAACAGCTTTAAAAGAAAAACAAGTCCAGCTCCTGTTGCTGCTCAAGGTCCAGATAAGCCAATTCCACAGAAGTGTCCAACTGGCACAGACCGAAGCATTCACTGGGAACCAGCGTGTCACCCTCTGTCTTCACAGCGCTGGAACAAAACACAGTTTTACTACCACCACGCAATCACCAGCAGGCCTGTGACTTTCTAGCTAGAAAACCCTGGCCCACGAGCAGGCTGACTGCAGACTACTCCTCCCCCTTTGAAGAGCGTGGTGATTGTACCAAGCCCATGGGCAAGTGCCTGGCTCCTTGTGCACCACCACTCGGAAGCTGAAGAGATTATACGGAAACGAATTCCTTGAAGCATCCAGGAAGTTGCCACTAAGGGCTTGTCTAAGGAGGGGGGGGTACATCTGCAGAATTAACACACAATTTCAAAGACAATAAGACTTCTACCTGGAGCCAGATGGGGAAGGGGCGCAAGCCACCCAGCACCTTGTCTCCAGGGCCAGCTGGGGCAGGGGCTGCGCGGCATGGTCGCCCGAGGGCACGCTCTTACTGCTAACAAGTTCTTGAACATAGGAACTCACGGGCAGCTGGGACAGACAGATGCACATTTCTAAACTATATAGTCAGATACAATAGTAGTGTTCGCATGGGATAGCTGTACCGGCTTTCCCTTTACAACAGTGTGCACACGCCCCAGGCTTGCTATGCACTGTGGAGGGTAGTCCCTGGTCCTTTGCTCCACTGCTGAGCAGCATGCATGCTGGGACTGTTCTTACTGCACAAGGGGGGGGATAACAGCAGCCATGGAATTCCGGGGCTTGGAGTACATTCAAACACCTCCTATGCTCCCTCTCCTTCTGGACAGGTGAGTGCCATCGCAAATTTCTGCCAGCCCGCATGGAGCCAGCAATGCTCCCAGTGCCACGCTGGCAATTGCACAGAGGTAGAGGTGGCCTAAGATGCAGTTCAGTTCTCAAAGCTGGCTTGGCTTTGGACATCACCCACCTCACCACCAAGCAGATGATGCAGTTCCAGCAATGGTGAAGGAGTGATGAAGATGAGAATAAGGACGTCACAGACCATACCTTAGCAACTGTTGCTATAGGAGGTGTTCCTAGAATCATAGACCCCTAGACCGGGAAGGGACCTCGAGAGGCCATCAAGTCCCGTCCCCTGCCCGAGCACCATTTAAATCACCTGGATAGTTTATCTAACTTTCTCTTAAATATCCCCAGAGATGGAGATTCCACATCCTTCCTGGGCAATTTATTCCAGTGCTTCACCACCCGGACTGGCAGGAACTTTTTCCTAATGTCCAACCTAAACCTCCCTTGCTGCAATTTAAGCCCATTGCTCCTTGTCCTGTCATCAGAGGCCAAGGAGAAAAATGTTTCTCCCTCCTCCTTATAACATCCTTTTAGATACTTGAAAACCGTTATCATGTCCCCTCTCAGTCTTCTCTTTCCCAAACTAACCAAACCCACTTCTTTCAGTCTTCTCATGTCAGTGATGGTTTTTAGACCTTTAATCATTTTTGTTGCTCTTCTCTGGATCTTCTCCAATTTCTCCACATCTTTCTTCAAATGTGGTGCCCAGAACTAGGCACAATACTCCAACTGAGGCCTAATCAGTGCAGAGTACGGCAGAAGCATCCTGTATTCTGTCTCATATAAAAACACATAGATGGTGCTGCCCCACTGGGCTATTTAGTGTGACAGGTTAGGTCACAGAGATTGCCTGGAAACTGTCACCTGATGGGCAGATCATATCACTGAGCCTACTGACCTGCCCTCTGGGCATCCCACCATCCTGTCTGGCTGAACCAGAAGCTCTAGTCTCCCCCAGCAAAGGCACAGAGCTGAGGTAAAAGTACCCCAGCAGGTCGCAATGCGCACCGTCTTTCCTAGGTGTGGGAAACCAGCGTGGCTTGGTGGGAAAGGAGGATTCTGTGGACTTAGCACCCCCAGCAGTGAGGAAAGAATTTCAGGATGGAGAGGACTCTCACGATCTGTGCTGAGCTAGCCTTGGAGCTGCAATGGCAACATACCAACATGCAGTGCCCATGCCCAGAGAGATGATGGTCACTACTGCCATGTGGATACTGCCCCTCCCCCCCGAAAGCTACTGGTCCCAGAGCCAGCCAATACATAGTATTCAGGAGAAAGTTGATGGCTTTGCATGCATGGGGTTCCCTAAGAGAACTGAGGCAACTGTGCCAACTGCTCGTCCCCCTGCACCATGGCTCAGCGTATAACCAGAGGGATATTTCTCCATATTTGTGCCGCAAGGGCTGGTTGACCAGCAGGCAGGTCCACAAATGTAGAGTGGTTTGGAAAGGCCCACAAAGCCGCTCTAGTCATCTGAGCGAATAAAGGAGAGAGTTTGCCCTCGGCATCGTTCTGGGCATTAACGGTGTGGGGATTGCTCCGGTTAGCCTGGGAGACTTGGCTTCTGCTGCTCTGGTTCATGAGCCTATCACCTCGGCAGCTGCAGAAGGACAGCAGTGTGCGCATCTGGCCACCTGCAGGGAAGGTGGCGCTATTTCCGGCACAGGTAGAAAGCAGAAGATAATAGCATGTGATATTTTGCACAATATCGGAGCTAGTGAGCAAAAGCCTTTACAATGAGTAGGAGACTGAGGTGCAAAGGTTTGCCCGGGGGTTTGAGCAGCTGGCAAAAACGTCCAGTGGAAACAGCCAGTGCAGCATTGTTAGGGATGCTTATTGTTCTGGGAGCTTCGGGCCTGAAAATATGCAGCCATCCATCCCTCTGTTATCCCACGGGGGAATGGCTTGGGAGCTGAGCAGTCTCTTTAACAGGTGGTAGAAGTGGCAATCCTTATTTTATCTTGTCTGTGCCATTATTACCCTGTTGAAAAACCCTGTGACTTATTCCGCTGACAGCCAGTCTAGGAAGCAGGTCACACGAGTGGTCCTCTCTCTCAGTGGCTGCAAGGATGTCGTAACCAAGACGGTCAGTCTCCCAGGATATGGCTGTTTTGCTAACTGCACTTGCGTACCCAGAACCTGCGGGGGTGCCAATTGAACCACAGCAGCGCCGTGATGGGATGCAGAGGGAGCACCCGGCTCTCCCACTCAGTGGTGTGTGCAACCAGCAGCCACCTCACTACATGTGCCCTTGCTTTGTGTGTGTCACGTTAGTAATACTGGAGGGGAACAAACTACACGGATGGAAGCCAGCAGGATCCGGTAACCCTGCACGTGGGCAATAGGAAAGAAAACGTTTCGTGGGCCACACAGAACCCTGACGAGCTGCATGCAGCCCACATGTTGCCCACCACTGACTTAGTCAAAATGAATGGGCTGTCTGTATAAAGTGCAGCGC